CACACACACACACACACACACACACACACACACACACACACACACACTTCAAAATTGGTCAAAGACCTTAATATAAAACCTGAAATACTAGAATTACTAAACAAAAATGCTTTAAGCTACAGGCATGAACAGATGCCATTTTAAAGAAGAGTTTTAATAATTGCCTTTAAAAATACCATTCAGGGTCTGGACATATGGTTCAGTGGTTATGGGAGCATACTGCTCTTATAAAGGACCCGAGCTTTGTTCCCAGAACCTCCATTAGGTGGCTTATACACACCTGTAACTCCAGGGGGAATCTGATACCTCCATCCTCCAAAGGATCCTCATGCACATGTCAACGTGAATACAGACACACACACATTATTAAAAATAATAAAAATAAATCTCTAAACATTAAAAAAAAAGTAGTTTAGCTTGGTATGGTGGTTCATGCCTATAATCCTAGTACTTGGAAGGCTAAGACAATAGAATTACCAGGGCTTGGGGCTATCCTGGCCATAGCCAGTTCTAGGCCAGTTTGGGATATAGAGTGAAACCGCCTCCAGAAACCAAAAAGTAGGGTGGGGCAAGCTAAAGAGATGGCTCAATGGTTGGGACCACAAACTGCTCCTGTAAGAACTGGATTCAGTTCCAAGCACCATTCTAGTTCCACAAGATCTGATCCCTTCTCTCCTCTGGCCTCTGCAGGCACCAGACACACATGGTACACATGCACATATGGAGGTAAAACACTTGTACACCTAAAAATAAACACATCTTTTTTTTTTTAACCCTCAAAAATAAGCAATCCAGATCACCTTTAGGACAAATAAATTAATACTAGGAAAATGGCTTTGGTGAAATCTTTCTAGTCCTAGACTCACACACAAACTCAGAAGTATTATCTTTGAGGCAACTTAAAATTAAGGATAGTTAGGTATGGTGGCACACCACTGTATAATCACAGCACGTGGGTAGTGGAGACAGGATGCCTAAGAGTTCAAGATCTGTAAACCCAGCACTAGAGGATGCAGAGGCAGGTGGATTGCTGTGAGTTTGAGGCCAGCCTGGTCTACAGAGTGAATCCAGGACAGCCAAGGCTACACAGAGAAACCCTGTCTCGAAAAAAAAAAAATCAAAACAAAACAAAAAAAATTCAAGCTCATTCCTCTTCTACATAGTGACATTCAAGGTCAACTCAGCTTCATGAGGCTCAGTCTCAAAAAAATCAAATAGGGCTGGTCAGAAGGTCAAGGTCATTCTCTGCTACCTGGGAAGTTTAAAACCTGCCTAGGACGGATCCATTAAACCTTGTTTACGAAAGAAAGAAGATAGAAGAGACACAGACACAGAGATGTTGGGCAAAGGGGGATATACGTAGCATTTTGTTCCATGTAGTTGGAAGTCAGAGGAAGAAGGATCACTGTAAGTTTGAAACCAGGCTGGGTTACCTAGTGAGGTCTAGACTACCCAGGACTACACAGAGTTGTAGCCACTGGTATGTTGAACCTCAAACTCATGCACATATAAACAACACTAATTGGACTTAGTAGGTTATTAAAAAATGTAGGAGGGTATGAAATTGGAATGGGGACATGAAGAAAGGACCCATGGAGAGTAAGAGAGGGGAATTGGGGTGAATATGGTCATATTTAAGTTTATATATATATGAAATTCTCAAAACAATATTAAAGATGATGTGCTTTGGAGAGTAGATCCTAATAGTGACATTTGTATGTAGTGAGCCAAACCCCTTTATTTAATCTTGCAAGATATTTTTTTATAACCTTCAGAATGTTCTCAGGAGTATTAGGTGAAAATACACTTTAAACTAAAGCTATTGTTATTATCATTAAAGTAAAATCCACCCAGAAAGTTTTTGGAATTAGTTTGTTTAGTAGCTGTTCCAATATCTACCAGTAGGTGGAGGGATTCTTTGCTAGAATTAAGAACGGTGTTGTTTCAAAGTTGTATATTAAAGCACCAAACAAAGCAAAAAGAAACATAGCTTTTACGACTTTCAGTAATTTTCACAATAGCTCCAGAAGAACATTGACATGATGTAATTCATAACAGGGGAACAGAAGGTTACATGTGCTCTTTTTTTGGTCTTTTTCTGCCAGAAGTAGTTCAGATAGGTTTAAGTTCAGTTCCATGTTCCTGCTGAGGTATAGACAGGCTCCTGAATCCAATAGGTTTAGTTTTTGCTTACTTCCTTGATTGTGATGAGACAAAGTTTTCCTCTGTAGTGCAGGCTGTTGTAACACTCTGGCTAGCCCAGTTGCTCTCAGACTTGGTGGTTTTATTCCTGCCTCTACCTCAGAAATGCTGGGATTACAGACATATTCCCCATATTTATCTTAAATTGGCTTTTGTGTTCTATTTTAAGCTCAGGTAAAGGTCTTCAAATCCAAAGACTATATACATTTGAAATGAAAACAGAGCTTGGGACACGGAGAAGAGGCAAACACCCTTAATAGTAGCAAAATGTTAAGCACTATTTCCACTGACACCATGTTTTATGATTATAAGTTCTATGAAAATCTACAGGGTTGAGTAGACCAGTTTAGTTCCAAATCTGTGTTGAATTACTGTTACTGCTTTCACACAGGTGTGCTTTCAACCATATATTTATTTTTAGTACATCATCTAACTTAACCTCCTAATTCCACATCATCAGAAAATGTAGTTTGTTGCTGTCTCAAGGAATGTTAAGCTATCAAAAAATATAAAATAAGTACTCTTTGCTAGCCATAAAATATTCTCTGTGAACTTTAACTGTTTGGGAATACTTGCTTTATTTCTACCATTGGTTAGTTTTGATTCAAGTTAAAGAGTGAGTGAGTGTGTGTGTGTTTGTGTGTGTGTGTGTGAGAGAGAGAGAGAGAGAGAGAGAGATGCTATTGTATAATGCATGAAACAAAACTATTCCCTTTTGCTAAGGTATATAGAAACATATTTCTTTTATGTTAAAGCACATGGGAAAGTCACTGTTTTGAGGGGAGGATGTTTTGAGAAAAGATCTTATATAGTGTAGGCTGACCGGGAAGTAGCAATGTAGCCCAGGCTTGAACTGTTGATCATCTTGCCTTAGGCTCTGGAACTCTGGGGTCCTGGCACATGCAAGAGCTTTTACATAATAGTTTTGAGCCATTCTGAGCTTTGGTTAAACAAATATCACCCTCATTTTAGCACCAGTTCTAGGTTTTAAAATTGTTTTATGGTAGCTACATTTCTTTTGTTATAGGGGAAATGGAGACAGAAAGCCAGCCTAAGAGACTCTTCCAAGGCTCTGCCAACATGCTGTCTACAGATGCTGCCCGACTGTCTGATCTCAGTTCATGGTAAAAAAAAAACAAAAAAAACTATTAGGGTATGACTCACATTAAAAAGAACCACATTGAAAGAATATTGAGATAATGTAAAATATAGTCCATGCTCACAGAGGAGGAGTCTCCACAGAGGTGTAAGTGATTTTGAATGACCTGGACTTCTGAAAGTCACTTATACTACTTTGGAAGTACATGTATCCTTTTTGTACCTTTGCTTTGTTCCTAGCCTCTGGTAGGTCAGCCTGTCTCAGTGGATAGGATAGTGTGGTGTAGTGTCATCCATCACCTGACTGGTGTGAGAAAGAGCCCCTAGCTTGCTATGGAGAAAATGGATATTGATTATCACTGCTGGCATTTTATGTTTCAAGATTTTGACTTTAAGAGATGTCTGTATTCTCTTAACTGTGTGTACCAGTTGAGATTTTGAACACTGTGACAAATTCCTTGGCATGAAAAAGAGAAGAATGATTTATTTCAGCTCAGGGTTTCAGAGGTTTCAGTCTAGTTCTCAGGCTCTCTTGATTCTGGGCCTTTGGTGATGCAGGTCATCGTGGCAGAGGGAACACCTGCCAGGGGTTGCTGCCCTCATGGAAGCCAGGAAGCAGAAAGAAAAGAAGGGAATAAGGACAAGCTATGACTTTCATGTTCATGCCCCCATAGCTTCCTTGCTACATATAGGTTGTTCCTCCTAAATTTTCTGCCAACCAAAATAGTGCCACCACCCAAGTAACCAAGCATTCAGTACATGAGCTGGTGGGGGATATTTCATATTCAAAACATTATGCCAATGGTATTTGCTAAGTAATGTGATGTATTGTGATAAAAATCTTTTTAGAGAATTTATAGTAGTCAGTCACAATGCTAATTAAGATTGCAGTTTCTCTTTGCATTTTGAAACACAATCTTACTTTATAGTCCAAGCTCACCTCAAGCTTACTACACAATCAAGGCTGGGTCAGAACTCACACCCTTCCTGCTTTAGTCTCCTGAGTACTAGGCCCACGGCCATGTACCATCAACCTCAGCTTAAATGTAAAGTTTCATAGGAACAATTACTAAATTATAGTCCAGGTCATAAGTCTCTCTTATTCTAGGTTAGGTCTGTAATGTAAGGGTTTTCAGAGTTTTATGAGAGAATGGACTTCTTTTCCTATTCTTGAAGTTGAGCAATTGGATGCCTACAGACACCTGAGAGGAAAGCCTAGCAGCAATTCCTAGGTAATATTTTGAAATCTTTCAGGATATTCCAGTCAACTTGCTGAGTACCCATGTTCTATACACAATTGTGTAACGCCTTTTAGAACTTTTTGTCCCCTGGGTTTTATAGCTGAGAATCCTTTCTAAAACTCACAGAGGCACTCACTTTTAAAATAGAATGCTATCCTCTAAATGGAAGAAGTATAAAAGCTACTCACTGGTTTAAGGGTTGACAATTCCTCTTCCCAAATTGCATGTGTATCATTTTATTTAAGATAACTTGCACTTCCAGGTAAGCAAGTCCTAGCTTATTGTCATTCATGAGGCTTGCTGACTGATACTGTCTTTCTGTGTCCTTGGTAGTTCAGTGTGCTAATTTTGGTACAGCATGTCTTCCCAGGTATGTAGAGATTGCTAAGAGCAATTCCTGAAGCTTGTCAAGAGGGTGAGTGGATGAAACTATATACCTGGTGCAAAGTGCATGTGGCTTTTATGGTAAAGTATGAGTATAGGCACATGACTATAAATAGATTTGCTTATCCAGTTATTTATTAAGTGATCCAATGAGAAAAAAGTTTATAACATTTTGCCAAGCAGAAGACAAGGATAGCACGGAGCTGGGTGTTTAACTCAGTGGTACAGTACATGTTTAGTTTGTACAAGGCTCTATGTTCTATCTCCAGTATGGCAAAAAAAAATGCATGGTGAGATTTTTATATATTTATATCTTATGTCTTTTTTTCTATATTGCCAGGAAACAGCAAAAGAAGTTCATGCAAATTAGAAAGCAAGGAGAGGGAACTGGTTTTGGTAGCACATGCCTATAATCCGAGAACAATGCAGGCTGAGGCAGATTGCCATAGGTCAGCCTAGGATACATAGTGAAACAAGATAGCCTGAACTATATAGTAAATTGTGTTAAACAAAAGGAAATCAGAAAGGAAGGCAGAGAAAGCATATCCCATTGATGGAGCACTTCTCTAGCATGCTTGCAGCCCTGGGTTTGATCTACAGAATACCAAAATTCAAATCAAAATGAAACAAGATAGAAAAGGAAAAGTCAGAGTATTTATTTGTGGCCCTCATTCCTTCTGTGGGCATTCATGGATATGGCAGTGCTGTTGTGGAATTTCAGTTGCTGTTGCAAACCATGAGTAAACCTGCAGCACAGACATTAATGCTAAGTGAAACTTAAACTGAATGAGTGACTTCAGCTACATGGTGAGTTAGAGACTAGCCACAGTTATATGAGACCTTAAAGGAACTTATTCCTCAGAATTCACAAAAAAAGAAGTTGTCAAGACTTATAAGTGCTAGCCATGTCTAGTGACACATGTCTATAGCCCTGGGTTCTCAGTTGAAAGGATCACAAAACCTAGGAGTTTGGGATAAGTCTGGATTACATAGTGAGACTCCCCTCCCCCCCACCCCGCCACACACACACACACACAAACTAATGACTAGAAAGAAGGGTCAGTGGGTCAGAACACTTGCTTAAAACCGTTAAGAGCGTTAGGGCACCTTATATACTAAGGATGCTGACATTTATTTCTATAGTGAGGAAATTTTGTTGGCGTTATTCTTCATACTGAATCTAGATTCGCTTTTACAGAAACTTCTGTTTCCTAATGCAGTTCCATTGGTCAAAATCAGATATCCATATTCTTAGAAATGGGGCCCGAGATAGGAACCATCTGTGGGCTTATTTCTGTTGCTAAAGATGGCAGTCTACTTGATAAGGAAAGTAAGGACTCTTTCTTTTGCTGTCTATTAAGAGAGTAGGTCAAAGACCTGATAAATAGCAGATATGATCTCATCTTTTTAAACTTTTCTTTATTCCCTGTCCCATACCACAAAGAGAAGAAAAAAAATACATTTTATAGTTTTTAAAGTTTATGTGCTATTTAATAATCTTTAATATGTGACATCTTTGAAGTATAAATTAAATTAAAACGTTGAATGTGAACCCATTTTGGCTTTGTGTCCATTTGGGCATACTTTTTATTTCCCATTTTTTTTCCTAAAAAAAAATCCTGAAGTCACTCACTGTCAACAGAATGTGGGGAACACTGCCAACTACAAAGCTGGAATTATGTCATTTTGCATTTAGTGAACATCAAGAGTTTGAACATAATTCAGAAGTACGCCTTGTATGGTACTTTGATTGCTTTTTTTTTTCATATTAAGAATTTCTCTTCTGTTCCTCATTGAGCTGGGAATAAGACAGTATGTGTCTCCAGTATTTTCATGGTCTCTAACCCTGTGGTAAAGATTAAGTGGTACCATGTTTTGCCTGTAAGAAAGAAAATTCTCGAGTTTTCTTGCCCAGTGCATCAGTGGTTAATGTGATGGTTAATTTCAACACTTTGGGTTAGATTTATAGTTTGAGTCTTCTCATTATATAGTCCATATATAGTCTAGTCTTGAACTTCAGATCTCCCTGCCTCAGTCTCAAGTGTTCTGGGTCTACAGGCATGTGCTATCACACTCTATCTATCATTATTATTTTTAATGTTTTTTGTTTTGTTTTTTGAGATAGAATTTCATTCTTTATCTAAAGCTAGCCTTAAACTTATGATGTAGCCAAGGATAATGACCTTGAACTCCTGATGGTCCTACTTCTGCCTCTGAAACGCTGGAGCAACAGGCATGTGTCACCATGCCTAGATGATTTTTCTACAATTGTTTATTTATTTGTGTAGGGGCATGCACATGTGAAGATCAGAAGAAAACATTCAGGAGTTGGTTCTGTCCTTTGAACTCAGGTCATCAGGGTTGGCAGCAAGTACCCTTACTTACTGAGCCATATCTCCACATCTGTCCTGGCTGGAATGAATTAGTTCACTTTCAATTCAGATAGTCCCATGTCGGTCTAGTCTGAATTATCTTTGCTCTCTCATGATTGTCTGGCTTTTAGAAGTAAGGCTCATTATCATTAGCACTCTGCTCAGATATTATGTGAGAAAATAAGAGACTCAAATTGGACCAGACTCTTGCTTTTAGAGGCTCCGGTATGAGATGTAATGGTGATCAATAAAAGTTACATGCACACAGTGATTCCTGTGGAGTTACATGGTTACACAAGTCCTGCTCTACATGGATCTAATTAATGATGGGGTAACATGGCCTGTGACCTCTGCTTCCATGTCCTGTCACGCTAACTAGAACAGAATCTGGATCTTAGTTCAGTGGCAATATCTACTTTTTAAGCACTACAAAGTTTTGAAGCTAAATTGCAGCAGAAACAAAATGTAGCTTTGCCATTTTCCAACAGTGAGAAAAATTAGAGACTTTTATGTGTAATGGTGGAGAAGACATTTTGAAATGTTCAGTTTTTTTTTTCTAATTGGTAAAGTCTCTGTCAGCACTTTTCTAGTAAGTAATCAACAATGTTAAGAAAAACGTTTCACTGCAGTCTTATTTTGTGCTTTGGAATGAATGCAAGAGTCACCTAAGTGAGCAGGTCTTGTTACAAATGAAATCTCCTAATCCTGGGCTTGCTGTCATTCTACTGTTTGCAATAAAGAATTCTTTTTTTATCATCAGATTATCTGCTTGGTGGCCAAATTTTAATCTAAGTCTTTTTCTTTCTGCCAAATGGAATAGAGCATGCCCTTGTGCTGCTCAGCCAGTATGTGCCTTAGGAAAGTCAATTCATTTTAATATTAGTCTAGGCAAAAAGCTCCAGGGGAAAATTCACATATGTTCCAAAAGCAAATAGAAATGTCCTTTTGATTTTCCAGTGTCTTGAATTATCTGTGCAACTTTTTTTTCAGTTGTTGAGTAGCTCATATTTTTGGACCATTTTGCTATGTGGTAGAACAAATATCAGAGCCAACTAAGTTTTCCAGACATCTTCCTTAAAAGTGGTATTATTAATGATGCATTTGACAGCAGTGTGCATAGTGTAGGAGCGATGTGGAGTATACTGTTTCCATTTTTTTATTTTTACTCTTCTAAAACCTATTTGTAATCTGTCTCCACCTAAAAACAACCCACAGGCAATAGAAAAACATGGCAGAGGGGGCTGTGGTGTAGCTCCAGTGGTAATGTGCTTGCTCAGCATGCATGAGGGCCTGGGTCCCACCCTTAGCACTGCAGGTAAAATCTTGAAAGAAAGAACTGACATTTCAAAAACAATGAGTGGAAAGGTGGAAAAGGAAAAGATGCCTTTGGGGAGGATGGCATAGGCCCGAGACTTACAAATGTACTCTGAGCTTCTTTACAATGGAAATATATCAGCTTGGAAATTTACAAAAATAATATTAAAGGTATAATATTTTGATTCCATGTATTAGAACAAAATGGGGTTTTGCCAAGGAGCTAATGACATACTAGAACCCATATTTCCTTGAGTCATAATTGCTTCTCTAATTCTATATTTTTCTTCCATTTCAAAATATAAAAAGAGTGTCTGTGTGAACTTAAACTGCTGGACGACTCCTCCAGTTTGGCTCTCACTGTGTTCTCTTGACTCTGTACTGCCTCTGTACTTGCCTGCTTTTAATTCCCAGAACTGTCTTTGCTTCTTCCTACACCTTCCCGAGGTAATACCTACTCGTCTTTTCCACCAGAATGCAAACCTTACCTCTAAGAATCCTTTCACAGTTCCTCCAGGTTAGATCAGGTTCCCCATAGGTCAAACTCTCATAGCCCCCTGGCCCTTCTGCCCTTTATTACTCCTATCACAAAGTGTAATTTTTTTTTTCATGAGCCTAATTATTTAAGTCTCTGTCTCCTCCACTCTCCTGTAAATTCACTGAGCCCGGGACCTTGTCTGTCCTTCACACCATTGTCCTTTAAGTGTCTACATACCTTCTACACTTGGCAGGCACTTAGTAAATATTAGAATAAGTGAGTGAGTAAAGTCAAGGCAAATACACGGCACAGATCTATGATCCCTGGGAATTGAAGCAAGAAAGGTATCTTGATGTCAAGCAGAAGTTCTAGGTTCCGTGTAAAGTATGAAGAAGCCATGTTTTCAAGGCAGGCCAGGGTTGATTTCTGGGAACACTGAGCATCTGGGCTGGATGGGAAGCATATTCCTGGGATGGCTTATGGAGGCACTTGCTGTCCAAATTAATTTTGGAGGGAAGATGAGAACAGAAGCCAGGTGTTTGGATTAAAGAGACATGGTGAGGACCATGAGGAGTGCATTTTAGAAGCTTAAATGTAGAGTAACAAGAAGGGTAAGAAAAGGAGTCTCTTCTAGATAGCAAGATCTTTGGGTCTGAAAGGAAACAGTATAACAAATTCGTAAGGATGAGAAGAATGGGAAAGATTAAAGGAGAAAATCATTAAAAATATTTGCATTGAAACCTCTTGGGAATAGGCAAACAAAATGGTTTTAGGGCAGTGGAAAAAATAGAAGTAACATGTGTGAAGGCACACTTCAGCTAGCTTGAGAATAGGTACCTTAGTAAATGTCAGTTATTCTTGCTTTAAGGCTCTGCACAGGTAAGAAGATAAATACAAAGATGGAAGGTCAGGACCCCCCCTCACCATACACATACAATAAACATGGCATATCAAGAGGAGCACATATATGTTAGATAGTCAGGCACCTCCAGGGGGATAATCAAATTATACAGGACGTTACAAGTCTTACTTTGGGGTTTCTGTGGTTTTGTGAATTTCACGGGTTTCTCAGCACAGTACATTACGCATTTCATTGCTGTGGCCTTTATGCTTCTTAGTATTTACCAATGCCGTATTGATGTGTGCGTCCTTGAAATCACGTCATTGCATGCTCTGTGGACGCTAATACATGCATTCGCTTATAATTGTTTTTGCTTTGTCCTCAGTTCTGATATTTTGGATGGCAGTAGTGTCAGCAGTCGCTTGTCCTCAGACTTACTGGCCACAGGCAGCGTTCCCGCAGAGTCTCCAGTAGCATGCTCCACTTCATGCTCTTCGTTCATCTTGATGGATGATCTCTCACCCAAGTGACTTACCCATTTCTGATTCAGTGTTTTAACTATTTCCCACATAAACCATTCAGTGAGGAATGCAGAGAACTTTGATCCACAATGGGGATTAAAGTTTGGCAGATTGAAACCATTCTGATGCTCATTTCTGGGCATTTCTCCTCTAAAGTTCAATTTTGCAAGCATAGTCACCTTACTAACATTCATTTGGGCTGACCTCATTTTATGTTTGATGACTAAATCTCAAATACACATTTTTGATTGCTTGAAGGATTTTTTCCCTAGTGCTTCAAAGAACACCTACCTTCATGCACTTAAGGCAAACACCAAAGCATATTTTCTATGATTTTTCTTTTCCCTAGCAGTAACATAACAGAGTTGATCAGAAATTCTCTTGCTTGAGAGATTTATAAAAATTCTCTGTTGACTACATACTTTCCCATCTCTTTATTTCACAGTAATCTTCAAATTGCTTTTGATTACATCAAATTTTCATTTTTTTTTCTGCATCAGCTTTAAAGTACATTGTTTTGTTTCCCTTGCCTGTTTGAGCTGCTTCCTTGCCATTTCTCACAGAGGGGAAGAAACCCATAGTCGCTTCCATCACCACCCTTATTGCTTCTTTGCTGTTGGGATGTATGCAGTGAAGACTGCTTTTAGAGTGGAGAATGTCAATGGACTTAGAGGATGCCTACATTAATCACCTCTGGTTCTTAGGACTTAGCTACCACAGTTGCTGTCTCCCTCCCCAAACTTGGTGCCCTAAGGAATATATAAAATATTGTTGATATTTCTAGGTGGTGTTATCAAGGAGAAGAAATTCCTGCCTTGACCAGATGTGTGGAGCATCTACAAATGAACGAATAGTTATTTACACAAACCACTGTACAAAAGCAAGCGTTCATGAAGCTGTCAATGTCTCGGGTAGTATTATGAGGCCTTGGGTGCCTTGGGGTACATTGCTGTCCTGTAGGGGACGTGTATCATAGGGTGTTGTGGAAGTGGAAGCTTTATGTGAGTGCTGTCTTGTTTGATTTTTTTTTTCTGATTCCTTTTTTTGTCATTGAGTTTGTTTTGTCATGTAGTGACCTGGTGTTTTTGGTTATTGTGTTGTGCTAGAGTCAGAACCCAGTTCTTGTTCTTGTTGCCTTATAGAGGGCTGTTTAATATCTGTAAGGAAGCTTTGAGGAGCTGAAAAAGTCAATGCTACTGTGCCCTCTGCTTCCAGAAGTCTTTTGAGCTGTAAGCAGTGTATGTGCAGTGTAACGTAAAATATGCTGTCATTATTTACAAGTGGAAACTCCTGACTAAGATATTTAAGAAATCCAAGTGTGATGTATTGTGACATTATTTATTATTTATTACACTACGTAGAATGTCTGTGTTGTTATCTTCCTTTTAATGTTCAACATAGTAGATGGACTATTTGTGTTTATATTCACATTTATGTGCTAGAATCGTGATATTAAGTGAATGTAAGAAACAAACAGAAAGTGATTAAACTTAAGTCTTTTGAAATCTAAAATCCTTGGAGGTGGTTTGAAGGCATCTTCAGGCTAGAAGTTGGTGAGCTTACAGCAAAACCTCTCTTTTAATCATTAGAGACCATCACGTAGCTTGCAGCAGTTGCATTATAGAATCAGGCCTGTTCTTAAGTTTACATTGTAATCACTGTCATAACAGCTATTACTGGCTTTAGTTCCCATGTTTCTTTAGCCTGTGAAAAGCTCATAATCCTTCAAACCTAACGTAAATGTGCTGTTACAAGAACCGCCCACTTGTGTGCTGTTTTAAAGAAACATTTTTTTGATGGCACTTGGTATATACACTCTGTTAATGAACCGTGTTCCAACAGCTTTAGCTTTCATAATAATGAGAGATGAGTTTGTCTTTTAGGAAATGGTCTGCCTTCATTCTTGTGTCTTATTTGCCTCAAAGGGACACTTTTCAGTTCAAATTTAACATCCAAATTTAGGACTGTTAAGAAGTAACCTTTGAAATGTGATGATATTTAAAGTTATGTTAAAAATTCAGTGGCAAGGTAAAACCAGAGCAGCAAATTGAAATGGTGTGATGAGATCAAAGGGTCAGGAAGATTCACTTTACAGTTTTAAGCCAACTTTTATCAATGAATTTAATTTAATGTTCTAAACTTGTTCTTTTGCAGATTTTATACATGTATACAATTCATTCTGATTTTTCTCACTCCCCACCTTCTCACATATCTCTCCTACCTCTGTCAATTCCCACTTTCTCCTATGAATTTTTTTTGCCACATTATTGTCTTTTCTTTTGTAAACTAACCTTTTGTTATGGTTGCCCCGTATATTGTTTAAATGGACTAGAAAACTAAGTTTGAGCAGGGATTGTTTTGAAATAAACAAAAGATAGGTAATATGCTAATCCACAGAGCAGCTTTGTTGACAGTACCCCTTTATTTTTATATAAAGTCTAATATTTGAAATGCAGTTGTTGTTATAAACTAAAATTCTTTCTTCCTATTCTCATATTATATCATATATTTTAAGCTTCTATTTGAAAACTACTACAAGAAATGAAACCATAATAAAATCCTATAGATCCTGGTTTTGCTTGACCGACTTATAAATCACTGTTTTATGATAACTGCTTTTGGAATAATAGAAAGTTTTGTGAAATGTTGACCTAGTGTCTATCTTAAGAATGTGAATTTAATAAAGTATATATACATGTATAAAAAGACAAAGTTTTAAAGGTCTGCCTCTCTTATTGCTGTTTATAATTATTTTCTGTCACCATATTCCAGGAGTTTATTCTCTGTTTCTAGGAGTAGGTCAAGTTTTGAGTAAAAGTTTATCCTTCACACAAGAGAACTAATAGGTAGCTATATTCAAGTCCAAGCTCTCTATCCCAGTAGAGAAGAAGCCTCTCCACATGATCTGTCAATTTTTCAAGAGTATTTTATCACATTTAACAGTTTAGATAGCTTTTGCTTGTTTTTGGTTTATTTTATCTTAAAAGAAAACCCTTTACAAGCCTCTATAAACAGCCAAAAATAAAGACTTTAATGCATAGTTCACATTATAAACACTTGATTTTATTTTCAGTATTTTTTAAAGAAATAGAGAACTTTTGTTTGTTTATTTTATTTCCTTTTGGGGGACAGAATTTACAAGGGTGGAGAGCAGACATGGAAAGACTGGAAAATAAATGGGATTGGGTTACATGACATAAAATCCCCAAAGAATCAATTAAAAAATAAAATGGGATATAACACATTTCAGAAGTTGGAATAGATGGTGCAGTAGAGTAATGCCTGAGGAAAGGCAATCAGATAACATGTATGGTCGTGGTCACCCTGGACAGTTCATGGAGACACTTTATGACAACTTACTTTTAAAAGGCTTTGCAGTTTGAAATAATTTCATAAATCCAGAAAAACTGCAAGTACACCCAAAGACTTTCCATATACTATTCACCTTAGTTGCCAGTTTTTAATATTAAACCACATGTATTTTATCACTTTCAAAATAGATGGTCCCCTGCTCTCTCTCTCTCTCTCTCTCTCTCTCTCTCTCTGTGTGTGTGTGTGTGTGTGTGTGTGTGTGTAACTTCTGAAGCTCACTCAGAAGGGGAAATACAACACACATCTGCAGCAGATGGAGAAAGGAGATGGGGCGGGGATCAGGTGTGGGAAAGCAGGGAGCCCTGGGAGAGAGAACAGAAGTTGGTGGGGGCTCAGCTCTGGGATAGGGGAGACTCCCTAGAGTCTATGGGCAGCAGCAGGTGAGGAGATATGTGACCACCTCTTGTAGCCAGGTGAGACTACCAGTGGACCTGAGGTGGACACTAACCCACACATAAAACCTTCGACCTCAAATATATCTCACCTACAAGAAGGGTAGGGATCAAGTTGGAGCAGAGATTGAGGGAATGGCCAACCAAAGACTGGCCCAACTGGAGACCCACCCAATGGGAGACAGGAGCCTAACACACCATCTTCTGAGAGGCTTCTTCCAGCAGCCTATGGGAACAGATGCAGAGACCCACAGCCAAACAATAGGTCAAGCTGGGGGAGTCTTGCAGAAGAGTGGGAGGAAGGAATGAGGGAGCTGGAGGAAGACCTACAGAATAAAGTAACCTGGATCCGTGGGAACTCACAGAGAATCAAGCACCAACCAAAAAGCATGCATGGGCTGGACGTAGACTCCTACTCATATGTAGCAGCTTTGCAGTGTGGTCATCATGTAGGTCCCCTAATAATATGAGTAGGGGCTGCCTCTGACTCTGTTGCCTGACTTTGGATCCCTTCTCCTATCTGGGCGGCCTTGTCTGGTCTCAGTGGAAGAGGAAGCACTTAGTCCTGCTGTGATTTGATGTACCAGGGTGGATTGGTACCCATGGGGGGGGAGGCTGTTCTTCTATGAAAAGAAGGAGAGGGGAGTGGAGTTTTGACATTAGAGTAGGTCTGGGAATAGAGTAGGGAGGGGGCTGCAATCAAGCTGTAAAGTGATTAAATAAATTAATGAAAAATATATTTATTTATAGGTCTGTCTGTGTGTATGTGTGTGTGTATTGTGTACAATAAGTGTGTGGGGGTGCCTTCAAAGGTCAAAGAGAAACAGTGGAACATTGGATCTCCTTGAGCTGGAGTAACAGGTAGTTATGACGTAGGTGCTGACGACACAACTAGGGTCCTTTGAGAGCACAGCAAGTACTGTTAAACAGCCACCTGTTCACCCCCTCCTATGTCCTTTTGCCATACACTGGTTTTCAGCAGCTGTTACATAGTATCCCAGATTCATACTTTCCATGCCCTAGCACCTGGGATCAACCATTTCTCCAAAGAGCCCTGATTCCTTTGAATAAAGAGCTGTGTTAAAAAGTAGGCAAGGGTATTTAGGTATGATCATTGTTGCCCCCAAGGTATAATTGTTCAAAGGCTTCAGAACCCAGAAGAATGAATATATATATATATATATATATATCACATAAATGTACATGTACACACTATATGTCTGTCTATTGAAAATAGTGAGTTTGCTTGTTGAGACACACACTTGGAATCCCAGCATTCAGGAAAGTAGGGCAAGAGGATTTTGAGTTCCAGTCAGCCTAGGCTATTTAGACCATGTCTCAATAAAAGAAAAAAAAAGTCATGAGTTCATATTAGTACCTCTGATTCCAATTCACCATCACAAGAGTCACTTCAGGGTCTTCACTAAACATACTTGTAACTATTTTCTGACAGAAACCTGATGCTTGCTTGCTTGTTCTATTTATTTATTTATTTATTTATTCATTTATTTATTTATTTATTTATTTAATTATTTATTTATTTATTTATTTATTGAGACAGGGTTCCTCTGTGTAACCTTGACTGTCCTGAAACTCCCTGTATAAACCAGGCTGGCCTAGAGCTCACAGAGATTCATCTGCCTCTGCCTCCCAAGTGCTGGTATTACAAGCATGTGTCACCACCACGTGGCAGAAACCTGATTATTTTATCCACAAGTTAATTTATTCCTTTTAACGATATGTAACTAGTTTCCTGCACTTGGGCTTCCTCTTTAGCAAAAGCTCTCTTCAAGGACTGACCCTTTTGGCTCCATGCATTGGAATCCCTACAAAAGGTAGGGAGGGGGGAGAAGAACTCATTTTACATACCTGTGGATATCGCATCTCCAAGTTCCATTTAAATTAAGTGGATATTAGATCTATAATATAGGATAAACATAGTAAAATCTGTACACCTAAGGAAGCTAAGCAAGAAGGAGGACCCTGGGTAAGGTAATCAATCCTCACTCAGAAAGGCAAACAGGATGGTCGTCAGAAGAGGGAGAAAGGAAATATGACAGGAGCCTACCACAGAGGGCCTCTGAAAGACTCTACCTAGCATGGTATCAAAGCAGATGCTGAGGCTCAGAGCCAAACTTTGGGCAGAGTACAGGAAATCTTATGAAAAAAGGGGGAGATAGAAAGACTTGGAGGAGACAGGAGCTCCACAAGGAGAGCAACAGAACCAAAACATCTGGGCCCAGGGGGTCGTTTCTGAGACTGATACTCCTAGAAGCCCTGCTCAGATGTAGCCCATGGCAGCTCACTATCCAAGTGGGTTCCCTAGGAAGGGAAACAGAAACTGTCTCTGACATAAACTCAGTGGCTGGCTCTTTGATCACTTCCCCCTGAGGGGGGAGCAGCCTTGCCAGGCCACAATGCAGTCAGTCCTGATGAGACCTGATAGGCTAGGGTCAGATGAAAGGGGAGGAGGACCTTCCCTATCAGTGGACTTGGAGAGGGGCATGGGAGGAGATGAGGGAGGGAAGGTGCAGTTGGGAGGGAATGAGGGAGGGAGAGCAAAGTGAATAAACTGTAATTAAAATAAAAAAATTAAAAATTAAATTAAAAAATTATGTTTGATTGCAGCTCAAATTTTCTTTCTGTTGTTTGTTTCTTTTGAGACAGTTTTTGTTTTGTTTTGTTTTGTTTTTTCCTAGCCATGGAGCTCAAGTGCTTGAATTAGAGGCCCAAACGTAGACCTTATCAGATTAATAATAATAACAATTACAATAATAATATTAAAAGGGGATGGAGTAGAGTTGTTTGGGGCATTAAAAGCAAGGGCTGAGGTTCCACAAGGCTTCTCAGCAGGTGGTCTGAAGGCTGGAGCCGAATCTTCAGTCTAATGATCCCTTAAACGATGTATCTCGATGGCTTGAGACTGAATCTTGAACAAACTTGGGAGAGAAACAGGCATCAGGACACAGGCTGAACAAAGCTCCACTACAGAAATATAATAATGGTATAAAAGCTGAAGATGAGACTGGAGAGGGAAACAGGCTTTGTGTGTTCTCTTATGATCTGGGAGTCTAGATTACTGTGTAGGTGGAAGCTACGTGATCAGACTTCCACTGGGAGGTCGTGAGGAGAAGGCAAAGGGAAAGATCCCAGGAAGCCCCAGCGTTTAGGTGTCTGGTTAAAGAAGAGAGAGGGGGCAGGGAGATAGGAGGAAACCCTGCAGCCAACTGCTTCAGTAAAGCAAGGAAAGGCGTGATTAACAAAGTCGATTAACATTTGGGCTGATAATTTCCCATTGTATCTGATAATTTGGAAGCTCCAGAGACATTTCTGCCAGTGTGCTTTTACTCCCAGTTTAAAGAGATGGGCTCGTAAAATGGAGACGGTTGGTGTGTTTAGTCTGTGTCAGATGTCTTCTAATCACACAGTCTCCGCTTTCTCCATCTGTGCTCAATTACCATTTATCTCCCCCTTTCTCCTGTATCTCAAGCAGTTAGCACTGTATCTGAAAAAGAATAGTCACTCAATAAAATTGTTCTGGCTAATAATCCCACCCTCTAACCTATAGGGGGAGCTGAGAGAATGTCACTCTCACTTATAGGTGGAGCTAAAAGAAAATCACAGGGGAATGTTAACCTATAGGAGAAGCTGAAACAAAATCTCCTGGAAAGTATTTCCCAGACATTATAACATTGGGGGCCGCCTTCCAGACATCTCTGAGAAGAACTTGCAGGAGGATTCTTTGTCAAGGACTTCCATCTTAGGTAATATTTATTAATATTCTCTTTCTCTCTCTCTCTCTGTATTTTGATACTTATTTTCCATTTATGCAAATGGTGTGAAGTTTTCTATTGAAATAAATGTAGTAGAAAATAAGATTTCTAAAGACCTGTGTTTTAAAAATTAGTAGCAAAGGAAAAAAAAATGTTGATCTACAGAAACGTGGAA